ATATGACTGTGTGTGCTGGGCAGCGATGCCACTGTGGCGCCGTACAGCCACCATTCGTATGCCCACACAGCAACACAAGCGTACGATCACTAGGACATTTCGACATGCGTGGAGTTTTCTCCTAACTGAAAGAAAAGTTTTAAGGGGGATTTTGGGTATTGGTGAGGCGAATTTTGGTTTCTTCGGATGTTTAGCTTGTTGGATATTAACAGTTAATGTGTTTCAGGGCGAACTGGACGACTTCTTGCCAGTGAGCATGGGCAGTGTTCAGTATACCAATGCTGCAAAGACGGTAACAAGAATTTTCAGATTGTGAGGCTGGAAGTGTTTATTATTTTTGCGGTCTCCTCCATTATGGTGCTTCGAGTACTCGGCCCAACTACTATTTATAGTTTAACTCCCTAGTTATGTCTAGCTAGCAAATTTCCAATTGCTTTGACCACTGCTGCGTGCCTAGTGGTCAACCTGCTCTACTGGTCCTCGTGTCCACCCATATCCTGTACGAATTACCAGAATAGCGGTTTTGTCGAAAGGAACATTTGGCAAGGTATTAACTATTTCGAAATATTTTTGGTGTGTGTTGAACATTGCCACATTACCACATCGCCTGGAACAGTTCCACTTCCAGAGCATGGCCTGATAGCATACGATTATAATAAAAAATTTGTCTTTTTCAAAATTTATATAACTCTAAAATTTTTTTTTTTGAAATTTAGTAATAACTGAGTGTCAGGCAAGCTCAAACAGTTTTGATTTTAGGTACAATCATGTCGGAATAGTTTACTGAGTGAGTTGTTCCGCTTTGGCTTCGGAATTCATCATGCGGGTTTACCGCGCCGAGAACGCTTAGTGGTTGAAAAACTGTTCGCAAATGGGCATATCAGTGTGCTGTTTTGCACTTCCACGCTTGCATGGGGCATCAACTTGCCTGCACACGCCGTCGTAATTCGGGTACGTTTTTGGTATTCTTTCTTCTGGCCTTTCTGCCTTATGACTGCGGCACTAATTTCATGTATTGACCATTTCTTGTCACCATATTATATTCGTTCAGTAACATATTTGGTAACTTTGTTAGTTATTCCTCAATTTTATATTATAAAAATAATCTAAATTAATTGCTGAGATGGCTGCTGGCTCAGCTTTTCGATGTTTCTGTACTGAGTTGTTTTCCCCCTGTTAGTAAACATGCTTGCACAACCTCCGTACTTCATCTGTTTGAAGGTTAAGTGTTCGATTTTTTGCAACTTAAATATTTTTATTTTATAAATTATTCAGTACTTCGTTCAACTATAAACACCTTGTCAGCTTTTCTTAATGATACCCGGAATAGCTGTTGTTTCGTCGCATAAATTTCCGTCTTTTCAGTTGGTAACCCTTCCAGGGCATTAACCAAAATTGCATGATGAAACCTCTGTTTTTAAAAGCCCAGTGTTGCCTTTAGGATATTGTTCTAAAACTCACAGCTTTTTTCATATTCTCATACACGTGGGGCTAAAACTTTTGAATTTCTTTGCAAAAACTGGTTTTAGGGTACTGAAATATTCGACGCCCAAAAGGGAGCATTTACGGATATTGGCGTACTTGATGTTCAGCAGATCTTTGGTAGAGCCGGCCGTCCGCAGTATGAAAGTTCAGGTATGAGTTCTGTAAAGTTGTGTTTTGAAATTTATAAATGGTTTGCCATTTATTAGATGAACTGAGTTTATAGGATTTCGGATCCTCTGCTGTCTTTCTTTGCGT